TGTATATAAATCATACACAATCCAGATCGAACAAATAATCAATTGTGTGGTTCTGCCCCAAGCCCACAACCAAACAATGAAGAGGAAAAGAGGCGGAGACCACACATTCTTCTGGTTGTCGGCTTCTCATGTACACAATGCTGAAGTATTCACTATGTACTTGAAAAGTTGACTGTATTGATCCTTTGATATCTGTTGAAGGTGTTCCTCAAGAAAATCCAATATTTTCTTATGAAAAGTATGATTAAACCCATTCTTTCTATAACTTCTTAGTTCATACTAGTTACGCATAAACCAATATCAAATACACGGTTAATTGTGTCGATCTGACCTAAACCCACAACCAAACGAGGAACAAGGAATGAGGCGGAAACCACACATTCCACAGTCTAGCGGATATTTTTCATATGTATCCTGGATGCGTAAACTAGGGAATTATAGAATTAATAATGAATATTCATTAATTGAATAATTAACCAGTTGTTGTAAAGTACTGATGTTTACCCTGGAAATTCCTATACTTTCCCTAAGTGTACGTTATTGAATTATCTGTTCCAAATCATGGTGTATCTACCATACTTATGTTTGTTTAAGCATTGATTTGTTTGAAAACCCTGGTTACCATTGGTAATGTATAATAATATTATTACATAAATAAAACTAGTTGATAACGTGTTCTGTATCCTGAAAGTGTTGTTAATACCCTCCTGTGTTCACTTAATACATACGAGTTATAGAAATCAAGATCGAACAAACAATCGATTGGGTGATTCTGCCCTAAGCACACAACCAAACAAGGAATAGGAAATGAGGCGGAGATCACACAACCCACTGCAAGCCAGATGTTAATTTCATATTACCCTAATGTACATACTAAGTCATCACATAGTTACTAACCATGTTGACTGTTTGTTAGGTATATCATTACATGAACGAGTCGTTGTTTCACCTCTGGATTCTTATAACCATACTATAGACGATCAACATTACGACGTACTTGGACGTTGCGGTAACTGACGTTTGTCACCCTAGGTTGACTGTAGCTGATAGTCAGGGTGTGGGATTGTCACTCCCATATAGATCTATACACAAACTCACGCTCTCCCTCTAGGAGACTCTAGTTACAAGGCGTGTCACAATGTAGTTCTCTCAACAAATCAAAAATAATACTAAGAAAACCCTTTTTATTATTAACATGAAACCTTATAAAATTATATCTTTTGTTTTATAAGTTTGTTTCCTTTGTTCTGAAAACTGTATTTGCAACGTTTATATCTTAACATGTTTATAAAGCGAACCGCAAATCTAGTAGTTACTATGTTCATCAAGTTTATTAAGTTCTATGTTCAAAGTATACTAATGATAGGAAGATATAAAAAACCAAATTATATACTTAAACACAAGATTACTTGTGCTTTTACTTGTATTCCCCCTGAAAACATTAAAATCTCAGAAAATATAGGGGTATGAACTCACCGTTAGTTGTGTGCAAGCGTTGAGTCAATGAATTGGAAACGAATACCCTTGAGCGATTGTATGCGGTACTTAACGGAATCCTAATACAATTAAGTACATATATGTATCTACATTAACAACTTCGTAAGATAAATTGTTAGAAAAACACTTGTTTTTGGTTTACGAATGTTACCGGGACTCAATCGAATCAGGGAAAGCGGGTTTTCAGCCAAGTTCACCACCTAAGGAGGGTTTATGGCCGTGAACAATCTCTTGAAGGGCTTACGACCTTTGAAGGTTTGAAGTGTGTACGTCCGTAAACTCAAGATCAAATATGTTGGATTCGATGAAAACGTGTTTTAGATGCTCCAAAACTACCTCCAGAGGTTATTCATGTAGATTTTCGGAAGAAATGAGGGTGTTTTGGGTGTTTACGGTCGAGAGGTTTAGAGAGAGTATGAGGGTGTTTCCGGACAGCAAGGTGTAATTGAGGGGTAGGGGCTAATATTTATAGGGGGGGTTCCATGGTCGGTGGTGGGGCCACCTGTCATTGGCCGTAAACAAATGTATAGTTGTAAACAGGTGTACGACCCTAAACAGGTGTACGACCGTAAACCTAACTCTGGCCGAAAATTAAAAGGAAACTCGGGTTTTTCGCGTGATTTTTGTTCTGACTCATATATATAAATTTCAATTATATACTAAATGATTTTTGAAACCAAAGGAATTTGAAGGGACTCAATAATGCTCAAATTTTATTGATGGAATCGGGCTGATATTGACGGAAAAAGATTCGGGTTGTCACATTCTTCTTCTTGAAGATCCAGTTACACCCAACCGTCCTACGACTTGGTAAATTATCATCCAAGTTCCAAACTCTATTGTCATACATGGAATGAATCTCGTTGTTTATTACCTCTTTCCATTTTGCAGACTCTGGGCCTGCCATGGCTTCCTTGTAGTTGTTAGGTTCATCCATATTTGTTAGTGTACTGTCACTAATAAACGTATCACTCTCAGTAGTTATATGGAAACCATATAACACGGGTGGAACACTAACTCTACTAGAACGTCTAAGAGGTAAGGACCCGTCAATCAGTTTAACAGGATTTTCCTCCTCTGGTTGAGCGCTAGTGTGTGAGGTTCCTTCATCACTTGATTCTTGAAGCTCTTCAAGGTCAATTTGCCGCCCACTATCCTCTTGGCATATGAGTTCTCTCTCTCGAAAAACTCCTCTCCTCGTAATGAAGAAAAAATTGTCACTCGGTCGATAGAAGAGATATCCAAAGGACTTCTGTGGATAGCCGATGAAAATACACTGCTCACTGCAAGGTTCAAGCTTGTCGTCAGTCTTTCGTCTTACGAAAGTCTCGCAGCCCCAAACCTTGATATGTGCCAATGAGGGAACTCTCATGTCCACATCTCGTGAGGTGTTTTGGCAACCTTGTTAGTTGGGACTAGATTAAGGATATGGGCGGTAGTCTCTAAGTCATACCCCCAAAATGAGATAGGTAACGAAGCTCAACTCATCATGGAACAAACCATGTCCAACAATGTTTGATTGCGCCTCTCAGCCACACCATTGAGCTGTGGTGCCCTAGATGGAGTCAATTGTGAAACAGTTCCACATTCCTTAAGATTGTCGTGGAACTCGATACTAAGATACTCACCACCTCGATCGGATCGGAGTATCTTTTTCTTCCTGTCCAATTGATTCTTCACATCTTGCTTAAAATCTTTGAACTTTTCAAAGGTTTCTGACTTGCATTTGATTAAGTAGATATACCCATATCTGCTGTCACACCCTAAAACCAAGAATGGCGGAATATGTTCTGGGGTGGAGGACATCATGTACAGTATCATAACAATGCATAATAGTAAAGACAAGTAACAACATCCATTGCATTAATATAATACTTTTAATACAAGCTTGTTCTGTACAGTTTGTTAGACACCAAAAGAATAATCAAAATAAAAGATGAGTCTTGTATGCTCCATCTTCTTAAAAGTTGCATCTGTACCTATCTACTGATGACCTTAGAATACAAGTTATTTTGAAAACGAGTATCAGCATAAAGCTGGTGAGTTCATAAGTATTTAGTGTCATTGCTTGTATAGAAGTGTTTACAATCATGTAATAAAATAGTTGTTATCAAGGTTTGAAAATAGTATGATCCCTAGAAAAATCCTATATTTTCCAGCAAAAGTAGTTTTTTACCAAGACTCGGTTATTTGTATGTTTGATCCTTTGAAAATGTAAAAGTTTTTCCCAGGTGAAACTATCAGTATGAAAATATTGTTTTAAATTTCGTTCATATAAAGTAATTGGGAAAATAATGTTTTACCCCAGCAGTGTCACTACCGGCTAAAGGTAATAAAGATGCAAACTCCAGGTAGTTTTAAATGTACAATACACCTCGGGGAGTCCGTTTTACCTTTAATTCTTAATGTGTTAATTAAAGGTATGAATGTGAACCCGTATGTAACCATGCTGATTAATGATCAAATAACAGATGACCCTCCAGGTCACACATAGTATGGTGACATTTTGTCACCCCTGGGCCTAGTTGGCTCGGACTGTAGCTAGCAGTCGGGATGTGGGAGTGTTTTTCCCATATAGATCTATACACATAATGCCCGCTCTCCCTCTAGGAAACTCTGGTTACACGGTGATCGCACGGTGAAGTGTCGTATCGAGAAGTAGTATGTTACATTCTATTTTAGTGTATTCTCTTGGATTAGAGTATAATGTACTTCTTGGTATAATGTATTGAGTGTTTTCTTGTATAGTATATAGTATTCTCTTCGTATAGTATTTAGTATGTATAGACTCATAACTGTACTAACTATAGTAAGTGTCATGGTAATAATAGTAATGAGCGGTAATCCTTAACTATACCTATTATAGTTAAATGGAGATGTTGGTTGTAAGCTTTTGATACACAAAGGTCACTACTATAAAAACACCCTTTACGACGCTCATTGTGCGTCGTAAAAGGCTCAGACGACGCGCAAATGCACGTCAAGGAAGGCCCTGTCATAAAGAGAGACAACGCGCATTTACGACGCTCATTTACGACGCGCAATTACGACGCTCGTTTACGACACGCAATGCGTATCAAGACAGGCCCTGTCATAAAGGAAGACGACATGCATTCGTGTGTCGTAACCTTACGACGTGCGTGTTAATGACACACATTGCGTATCAAGAAAGGCCATGTTATAAATGAAGATGACACATTTTTGCGTATCATAATTGTAAATGTTAAAAAAAAATATTATTTATGGATTTACTTATTTTCAAATTAAATTTGTATTTAATGTTTCATAATAGAAAATAAAATATCAAATACAAAAAATAGAATCCATTGCATAAATTTAATTCCATACAAATAATCGTTCGAACGACTAAGGGGATCTGATTGTACATTGTTATTAAGAAAATGGAAGTATATTGTTATAGTTAGAAAATAAATGAGTACAATGCACTACGTTTGGTTCCTCTCATATAGTTTTCATCTTCAAGATTGCTATCCAATAAGCTTTTAGTATTTTTCATGTAGAAATTCCATTTCAAAATGCACACCTGAGAGCTCACGTCCAGGAACAGGCAGGTCTCGTGGCTTTGTTGCCCCCACTGCTAAAATAACCGCATCATTCTCTTCGCGAAAGCGTTCAATTGAGTACACCGGATTGCTTCCTATTTCCAGGATAGAGGAACTACAAATATTATTACAACTCATTGGTTACCAACAAAACAAACTATATGATTATGATTATCTACCTACAAAAGTGGGCCCTAGCAATCCGGAATTGGGATTTTGTTCCTTCTCCAATTAGATTTAATCCAAGTGTGGGACTACTGCTTGTAAGAATGCAATGTTGAGGGCAATCACAAGGACTGGACCATGGTGTTTGGATCACAACAACAAACGTACATACACAAAACACAATTTTAGTATTTCTGGAACCTATTAAGGATATCACTCATTGTAAGAACTAGAAAAGGATGAAAAGTTTTTAGGAAATCATATGCACTTACCGAGCTGCAAGGGTCATCCATGTGTTGTTCTTTCTGCAAATTACACCACATATTTCCGAATTAAATCTGACAGTAAGGGGACTGACTATGATACAAAAAATGCAAAATTAACTCCTTTTTATCTTTATCACAAACTATTATGTGAATCCGATATGGTTGTATTTTTTTTTATTCCATATGCAAGTACCCAACAAAGATTCACATAACAACCATGGATAGCAACAAGCAGGGAAGCACAACGATATTGCTTTTTTCAATGCTTCTATCCTTTTTGAGTATAGTAGGGTTAAAACTTTATTCAACTGGATATTGGGGAATGAGAGTCGATAACATAAGAGCAACCACCATTGATTATGTATTTAGAATCTTTTTTTGATCTGTATATGTCTACATCTCTATGTTGGGGCTTCTTTTTGCTGAGAAAGTACCATGCCTTTACATATTTATTAAGGTAGTTTTATGGACATAGGACTTGAAATCAAGAATAAGGTTCCATCACCACTTTACAATCACACACTCGCCACAATTCTGGTGGAATATGCTTCTGCAGTAAGATGAACATGATACCGTGAGACATTATGGAGTAATTAAGTTAAGTAGAAGAATTAATAATAAAATATGCAGGTTTACATGTTAGATTTAACATTTTTACTTGGACTTGTTCAAGATGTGATGGCCTTACCACGGTACTTGGCACAGTTTATATGAAAACTGAGAAACACTATTTTTCAAATTATGTTGATTTTGTTGTTATCTTGAATCAGGGTTTTGAAGTATTAGAGCTGATTGTTGATGTTGAGAACTGTCTTTAGGCCTTTGTTGGGGTTACCGATGAACTGGATGCAATTGTTATTGCATTTAGAACTATTCCCTAACACCCTGAGTTTAGTTTCATCACCATCATCCAGTTTAGATACATCAAGATAGTTTGCAAAAATCTGAAAATACAACAAATTATGAGGTTACATACACTCTAGTAATTTTTACACTTAGAAGGACGATTTACAGGTCTCAGGCACATAAAAAACTTGCTTGGATCACCAACAATGCAAATACATACCAAGAACAATCATTTATTTAGACTCTTCCATTGGTCCCTGCAACCGTTGAAATTATTTTCATGCACTGCCCTGTATCAACATACAAAAACCAACAATCATACTCATACATATATATTAACATGTATATTGTATATAAAAAAAAGAAAAGAAACTGAATATTGCCTCTGGAATGCCGAGTAAAGTAGAGGGATAAGGCTGAGAGCTCCCTGAATCTTTAGCACTATCCGCCCCATCAACATTATTTCAATCCATTAATATTTTATGCCACTCTTTGCATTCATTTGACTTGCGAAAAATGCACTGCACAAACATGTAACAAGCCAAACTTTTTAATATATTTAAAAAAAAAATTAAAAAGTTCTCCTTTAACAATTTCCTTTCTAAAGGAATAACCTGATGCAGGAACTTTGAGAGCAACTTTGATTATTCATCATTGATGTATTTGAGGTTGTGGGAACATAAAAGTTTCCGGTTCGAGAAGCATCAGTGGTGCTACTCCCATAACCATCACCTGCAATGTATACGTATTAAGTACCCCATCAACATTAAAGAGGATACTACAGTGACAAAAGTAGAGAGAGAGAGAGAGAGAGAGAGAGTACCCTGTGACATCTGTTGTTGATGGACATTCATGTTCCCATAATGAGAAGGTGTCACATAGCTTTCTGAGGTTCCTGAAGCATTCATCATAGGTGAATTATTGGGCATCCTTCCTAATCTGTTGTTTGTTGAGCCATTTGAAAAGCTATAAGCTTTCTGTTGTAAGCTAGACCTGATTCCCCCACCCATATGGCTCTCAAGGCTATGTAATATGCGACTGTTCTGGCCACCAACTTGCTGCTTCTGGTTCAGTGGCTAAGAAACCATTGTTGAGTCAATAGTCGATAGCCCAACAACATTGTTGGACATATTTGTTTTCATGTAAGATTGATTAGTATTACTATTATTAAATCCAGGAGTAGGCATCATCTGGCTACCCATTCTTTGTGCCCCCATTGATGAAATCAAACTGCTTCTGGTTCATGTAAGACTGATTAGTATTACTACCATACTTCTGTATCATGTGAATTATTAGTTGTTTTTGCACTTTACAAAAGCAAATAATGGGTAAAACCCAGCCTAACATGCCTTCCGAGTTGGATAAAGCTCAACATTTACACCTCTAGATATATCCAACATTCAATTTTATTTTATCAATTTAAGACAAAGTCTTATAACTCTCTAGTCTCTAGCAATTAGCACAATATGGTTTGTCTTGGAAGAGCAAAATGTATTCTTAACCAAAGCCATGAGTGAATAAATCATCGCCCTCAAGGGCATAGATTCAAAATTGATTTTTTTTTTGTAAAACCTATCAGTACTGAAACAACTCATCCACAGGAATTCACTTGGCATTTGAAAACAACTGAATTGAATTCAAAGACAAATGTGAGCTCATTTTTTTGTAGGAATAGGAGTAGCAACTATAAGTATAAGTTAAATTCTCTTTACCCGTGTACCAGAATCATTCACCATTCATAGTCCGTAACAAAGAAACCAAAACCCTAACTTATCAGCGAAAATAGACAAAAAGAATCAAAATAGTAAACATGTGGATGTGTGTGTGGTGTTGTGTGCGACTGTGAACAACTATCATAATGGGATTAAGAAGCAAAAAAGTAGGGGAGATGGATGTCTCACCTGAGACATAAAAAAAACGAGAATAAGGGAGATGGAATGCAGCATACCTGAGATGCTTAGAGAGTAGAATTGGGGATCAAGGAAGGAGGAGGAAATCACGATTAATATCTGTATCGCTTTTCTAGTTAGGGTTTTACAGAAGAGAATACAAGAAGAATCAAAATCGAAATCAGAGGCATGAATAAAGGAGAAAGAAGAGCATTTTTTACAATACAGATGAGTGCACCTTACCAAATAATCCTTCGATTGACTGTAATTTGGAGTCAAATTGATATCGATTCAACTAGATAATACCAATTTCGATTTCAATTTCATCTAATCCAAGTCTTTGTGGCCTATAAAACACGGTGTGTGGCTGATGATGGAAATCCTTAGATAATGATACTTGCACGTCAGCGAGGATGTGAACCTGAAGCAGGCCCTCAATTCTTAACTCTACGATGGAGTACTTGATCTGAGATACGATCTTGGTTGCGTTATTCTTTTAGGATAAAAAAAGGGATTTTGTAGTGGTGGAGGTGGATTAGGGTTTACAGAGAAAATGAGAAGGAGAGATTGAAGCTTGTCAGCTGGTGGCGTGCTTGCCTTGATCGACGTCGACGACCGGGAATGGCAAGTAACGATGGTCGAAGTGTGAGGGAAGAAGTAGGTGGCAGTCAATGTCGGCAGGGGGAAGGAAGGAGTTTCGATAATTAGGGCAAGAGGGAAAGGAAGAAAAAGGAAGGCGGGGATTTTAAATTTTTAGGATTTCATTTTCCCCCTCAGCTACTAAAGGATGGAAGGCGCATTTCCATTAAAATTTATAAAGCGACATCCTCAAACGACACACATTTTATTATAGGCGCCCTCCGTGTTTTTTAGACACTAATTTAAGGGCACGCAAAAATACGCGCCCTAAATCCTTAAAATTTATAGAGATATGACATTATTTTTAGATCACACACTTTTGCATATCGTGAATCAATGCATATCATAAATTGCACATCGTAAAAGGCTGTTTTTCTAGTAGTGGGTATTGAACTGAAGTGAAGACTTTTATATCTAACACAAATATATGTATATATATATATATATATATATATATATATATATATATATTATATAACTAAGAATTCAATGACAGTTGGATAGATAACAGGATACCCTAAGTCCACAATCAAACAAGAACAGGAAGTAAGGTGAGTTATCCGTTCTAAGTCCTTCAATTCTTACTTATATAACTATATTGGTGTAGATATGATTTAGGAACAAAGAAATTTAAAAGAGTTGGAAATAGTTTTATAACAATTTAACATAAAAATGAGTTTGATAAACATTTAAAACAATTTTGTTGGCAAAGCAGTTAAAAGTATAGAAAAGTCCTTTTGGTTGTAAGCTATAAATCACATGTGATTGATACTATAACTTGTTTGATTCAACTTGTATTCCCCCCATAAAACCATTTAAAAACATTTAAAAGGTTGATTAAGGGGTATGAACTCACTGTTTAACGTGGGATTCGAGTGTACGATCGATATGATTGTGAGTGTCAATGGATGTTCTGAATGCAAGTGGACCCTATTCATCATATGGTAACACATATAGAATAGAACTAAGTGTTCTATGTCCCATACTTAGGGATCTTTACAAGTTTAAGGCCAATTATGAGCATTAGAATGGGTGTATGGCCAAAAAAGTGAGTGTGCGGCCAGGGAGTACGGCCAGACTTGTGTGCGCAGCTGCACATAGGAGTGTGCGGCCGTGCAGAGGGTGTGTGTGGTCGTACACAGGCGTGGGAAGCCATACACTCCTCATTTGTGTCTGAAATGTCAATTTTGAGGTGTTTTCGAGGTGTTCTTGTGCTAATACCAAGTCCTATTACTAAACGAAGGCCAAAGCTCCTCACTTTGAAGAGCTTAGTGAGTGTACGACCACCTTATGAAGGTGTGCGGTCGTACACCTTCAAAGGATGAAGAAAACGAAGAACACTATGAGTTTTAGGCTTAGATTAAAGTGTCTTACCACTATAACCAGCTGAATGATGACGTAGTTCACGTTTTTGAGGCCTTAAGAGTGTTCTTGGATGAAGTTTTTAGAGAGAGAAAGTAGAGAGAGAGAGAGTAGTGTGCAGCCAAAGAAGAAAAAGTGATTGAAAGGGGTTCTCTACTATATACAGGGTCAGGTGTGTGACTGGGGGAGTGTGTGCGGCTAGCTGGCCGTAAACTTGGGTGTGCGGCCGCACACACCTTCGTTGGTGTAATTGGCTCGATTTTGTGGTGCTACACACTTTCTAACCCTTCTTAAGACTCATATCATTGATATACAAAACCTAAAGCACTCATATGAACCCAAAATTTCATTAAGAGATGATAAGTTCGAGATAAATATTGATATACGAATAAACTGTACATGATAAAAGTTTCGGATTGTCACATCTGCTATAATCGTCGGTAAAAGTCATGTAGAAGCGAGTTGCATACCTTGTGGTGGATCTAAAGGGCCCGCACACATCGATGTGTATTAGATCCAATAATGCCTCACCTCTTTCACAACTACCCTGGAAGGGTGACTTAGTCATTTTTCCAAGCAAACAAGATTCACACGCGTCAACTGACTTTAGGTCAAATGACTCCAACACTCCATCCTTTTGGAGTTTGACTATGTGCTTCTTGTTGACATGTCCAAGACGATAATGCCACAAACATGCCTTTTCCAAACCATTGGACTAATAAATATGCAACCATTATTTCCTAAGTTGTCTACAACCATCACAGTTTCATAGAACCAATTTCATTATTAAACGAAAATCTAAAACCTTGTTTATACAAACCATGAAATGAAATAATATTCCTCGTCATCTCTGATGAGTAGCAACAATTATTCAACAATTATTCATCTCTGGTCAGAGGTACGGCTATCTTAGAGAGATCCTGGATGAATCTCCGATACTAGCTGGCTAATCCTAGGAAACTCTGAATCTCAGATGGAGACTTCGGAACTTCCCATCTCATCACGACCTCTACTTTGGCTGGGTCCACTGAAATTCCGTCCTGGTTGACGAGGTTCCCTAGGAATTGCACCTTGCACAACCATAACTCACACTTGGAGAACTTAGCATACAAGTTCTCCCTCCTGAAAGTCTCCACATTCTCCTGCAGATGCTCCTCGTGCTCCTCCTGCACCTTGTAGTAAACCAAGATGTCATAAATAAACACTATCACAGACCGGTCTAACATCGATCTACACACGCGGTTCATGAGATCCATGAATGGGGCAGGAGCATTTGTGAGCCCGAAAGGCATCACCACAAACTCATAGTGGCCATAGCATGTCCGAAACGCCGTCTTCTGTACATCCTCTTCTCTGACCATCATCTGATGATATCCTGAGCGCAGATCAATCTCGAAGAACCAAGATGCTCCCTGTAAGTGGTCAAAGAGGCCATCAATCCTCGGGAGTGGGTAATAGTTCTTCACTGTTACCTTATTCAGCTCCCGATAGTCTATACACATCCGATGCGACCCGTCCTTCTTCTTCACAAACAAAATCGGGGCTCCCCAGGGAGAACTACTCGGTCTAATGAAAAATTTGTCTAACAGCTCCAGCAGCTGTATAGACAACTCCTGCATCTCAGGAGGAGCCAGCTGATACGGTGCCATGGCTATCGGAGCCTCACCGAGGAACAAGTCCACTCCGAGCCCTTTCGGTGCTGCCACTGAACCTTAAACAGCTCCACTCTCTTGTTCTTCAGATCCTTTGACTTCCTATCCAGGATCGCCACTGGCAACTCGATGTATTTCAGGCTATCATCAACCTGAATGTCCTCTAAAGGCACTACTACCGAATCGTCCACCAAACATTTCCGCAACTGGTAAACGTGAAAGGTATTATGAATCTGACTGAGTTCGGCTGGCAGAGCCAACCTATATGCCACCTCGCCTACCCGGGCTACAACCTTGAAAGGTACAATATACCTAGGGCCCAACTTGCCCCGCTTCTTGAATTGAATGACATCCTTCCAAGGTGACACCTTCAGGAGGACCATATCCCCGACCTGGAATTCCAAGTCGGATCGGTGCTTGTTGGCACCACTTTTCTACCGACTCTGAGCAGTCTGAAGCCTGCTTTGG